TTCTTTGCCCAGAGGATGGCCTTGAACTCCTGGGATTACAGGCCCAGGTGCCTTTCAGTTTTAACCTATCCCACTGGCAAGGATTAAAACAAAATAAAACTGGACAAGGCCGGAGTTGGAGCATAGTAATGAAGAGCTAACCTGTTGTGTGAGACCTTGGGTTCCCACGTGTGTACACATCATAACACACTATGATCCCGCCATGTGAACAGCTAGACACCTCATACTTTACTAACGAAGCTAAGCTAGTACAATTGCTACTTGGAACACTTTGCTGATATTTATTAAGGTCAAAACAGATTAATCTGCTCATACACTGATAATTGGACTTCTAGGAATTTTTATCTTACAAATGCCAACATATGCAGAACACAGATTAGACAAATTATAGCATTATCTGTAATGGGAAAAGAATGGAAACTACCTAAAAGTTCCTAAAGGCGGGAAATGGGCGATTAAATGTGTATTCTTACAAAGTTAATGTTTTTATGTTTCTAGCTTTTTGGTTTGTTTTGTTTTTCAAGACATGGTCTCACTCTGTTGACCAGGCTGGCCTCAAACATAGAGATCCACCCACGTCTTCCTCCCAAGTGCTCAGACTAAAGGTGTGCCCACCAGAGCTCCCCATGTTCCGTGGGGTTTGTTTCGTTTTCATTTGTTTGTTTGTTGGTTTGGTTTGGTTTGATTTGGTTTTTCGAGACAGGGTTTCTCTGTGTAGCCCTGGCTGTCCTGGAACTCACTCTGTAGACCAGGCTGGCCTCGAACTCAGAAATCCGCCTGCCTCTGTCTCCCGTGTGCTGGGATTAAAGGTGTGCACCACCACCGCCTGGCTATAATTCTATTTTTTAAAAAGGAACTTGTACAAATGTTTAACACATTACAACCAGTGATTCTCTGGTGACTGATTTTATTTGATCATTGGATATTATGTGGGGCAGGAGAGATGGCTCAGTAGTTTAGAGCACTTATTTTGCTCTTTCAGAGGACCCAGGTTCAGTTCCCAACATCTACATGGTGGCTCACAACCATCTGTAACTCCAGTCCTAGGAGATGTGACATCTTCTTTTGAGGTTTACTGCACAGGCACACATGTGGTACACCACAGGCATGCAGGCAAAACACTCATACATATAAAATCTAAAGAAAAGAGAATGTTGATGATGTGGAGATCGAACAGCATTTAGAGAGTATGTTTTCCCCACCTTGCTTGTTTTCTTTGTTTTTGAGGCAAGGTCTCTCTTGTTCGGCAGCTGTTCTCAATGTCCTGGCTTCTGCTTCCTTCCCAATTTGCTGTCATAGTGTTTTGGCTAGGATTACACATGTAAATGGCCACATCTGGTTTGAATGTGGGTTCTGGGGATCAAATTTAGGGTGTCAGGGTTGAGTGCTATTACCTGCTGGGCCGTCTCACTGGCCTGGTTTTCTAAGTTCTTAAAAACAAACAAACATCCCAGCACTTGGGAGGCAGAGGCAGGCAGATTTCTGAGTTCGAGGCCAGCCTGGTCTACAGAATGAGTTCCAGGACAGCCAGGGCTACACAGAGAAACCCTGTCTCGAAAAACCAAACCAACAAACAAACAAATGAAAACAAAACAAACCCCACGGAACATGGGGAGCTCTGGTGGGCACACCTTTAGTCTGAGCACTTGGGAGAAGACGTGGGTGGATCTCTGTGTTTTAGGCCAGCCTGGTCAACAGAGTGAGACCATGTCTCGAAAAACCAAAAAAAAGAATTATGGGCTGGAGAGATGGCTCCGAGGTTAAGAGTACTGACTGCTCTTCCAGAGGTCCTTGAGCTCAATTCCCAGCAACCACATGGTGGTTCACAACCATCTGTAATGGGATCCAATGTGTCTGGGACAGCTATAGTGTACTCATAATTCTTTTAAAAAAATACACTTAACTTGCCAGGTGGTGTCGCACGAGCCTTTAATCCCAGCACTTGGGAGGCAGAGACAGGCAGATGTCTATGAGTTCAAGGCCAGCGCTAGTCAGACCCTGTCTGGAAAAACCAAACCAAAAGAAAAAAACCCTATCTATCTGTTAAGAAGACAAGTTTATTAGTCGTCTGGTCTGGGGAAGGAGCTGATTCAGAATTCCCCTTCTAACAGTGAGCATTATAGAGGGTGGGCACACAAACACCAGGCCATGGGCAGGCCTTATAGTGGAAAAGCATTGAGAGAGCATTGAGGAGCATACTAGAGGCTACATGACAGTGCTGAGAGCAAAACAGCCAGAGAAACCTTTACAAGGCTTCTCTCGGCAGTAAGGGACCAGGCTATGGCTCCAGGAAGAAAAGCAACAGCATATTTATTTATTTACAAATTCCTGGTACAGCCTTACAATAGAGCAGCAGGAGGGGAAGGGAGTGGCAGATCAGGTCCCAGGATTTAACACGTGTGCACGTGTATGCGTGCTTTCGTGTGCGCCGATGTACCTTACCAGGAGCTGGAAGGTGGGGGAACAATTTTGAGTTAGTTCTCTCCTTTCAATGTGTGGATTCCAAGATAGAAGTCCAGCTGTCAGGCTAAGGGGTGAACATCTTTATAGGATGAGTCACCAGCTAGTCCCTCATTTAACCTTCAGGCCATTGCAGCAAAGCTGTTAGACCTGCCGTCTCTGCTAACAGGGGAACACGTGAGGCTGGCAAAGGTGAAAGCAATGTAGGACACACATTCGGATCCCAAGAAAGATCCAAGATCGTCCAGTTGGATAAGCCATGACTTTGGTTTTAGAGCAGCCTGAGTCCATTCTGATCCACCTGACACCCCCCCACACACACACACAACCTTTCTTATTTCAGGTAATTTATTAATTTCTTTTAGTCTCTACATCCTTTGGCTGGTTTAATTACACCCACCTGGAATCTGTATGAGACTCAGAGATGATAATGAGTTTGAAACAATTCTGGTGTGTCCGTTCCCACACGGGCTCAGCTCTCGGCATTCACCACAACTCCAGTCAAGCTTCCCAAAAAGGTGTAACGAACTCTACTGCCAACAGCATATTCTGCCACATCTTCTGTGAAAGACCACTGTCTCGGGGCTGTTAGGTGATGCCCACGTTAAACAGCTACATAAGGAGACCCCGTATAAAAAGAAAGAACTTCTCTCGCAAGCTGACGATCTGAGTTCCACTCTTGAACAGAATTAATTCCTAAAGTTGTCCTCAGACCTCCATATAAACATGGTGGTACATACACACCCACACTCAGGTGCACATACCCCCAAATAAAATAATAATTTTTGAAAAACAGAGTTATAGCTCATTTGGTAGAATGCCTGCCTACTATGCACAAAGCTCTGGGTTCGATCCCCAGCAACACATAAACTGTGTATACTGTTAAGACAGGAAAAGAGATGGCTCAGTCGTTAAAGGCTGGGCTCACAACCAAAAAGAAAGAAAGAAAGAAAAGAAAAAAGAAAATGAAGGTCATCCTATGCTACATGATTTGAGGACATACTGGGCTGAAGTTAAATAAATGTCTTTCTATTGCGTTGGTCAGCAAGAGTCGGCACTCACTCACTCTAAGGCACTCACGTTTCACAGTCATCACAATGTCAAGATTTTTTTCCCAAAGCATTAAAGATTACCTTGTTTGTGTATTTTCCTACTTGGATACTGTCTCTGCCCCTAAGGTATAAGTCTTCATAAAAACAGAGACCTTGCCTTGTCTCATTCATAACCGGTTGTCTTCAACAATCCGAACAAACTAAGGGTTTTCTATTCTTCAGGCTTTTCGAGTAGTTACTGATACGCAGTCAATGAAAGGTCAATACTGCTACCTATTTTTAAAGTGAGGGGGAAAGTACACAAGTTGAGAAACCTATCCGATGTTGGACACCCAGGAAAAAGCACTTTTTCTGTAGTATACAAAGGGATAGATGGGTGAAAGAACTAGATTGAATGAGTGTGAACTGTAAGCCTTCCATGCGCCTGCGACTGCTGAAATCGCTCGCCAGGTGGCGCTGCTGGCCCATTTCTCGACGCCAGTCCCTCCTGGCGCGCACTCCTTTTGCGTCTCGGGCTCGCGCGCGCTGCCGCGGCACCGGAAGTGACTGCGCTTGCAAGTTCCCCCGGTCTCTTCAGGGGAAACTGAGGCCGGCTTCTCCGGGAGATTCAGCAGGAGCAGTCAGCCAGGTAGGCCAGCCCAAGTCCGCGGCGTACTTCTCAGCCGCAAAACGCCCTCGTGTCTAGAAGCCACCGGGCCGATGAAGGGGGGATGTGACCCCCCACGGCTCGCTGGGCTCGCAGGTGAGAGCGCCGCCTCCCCTGTGCCTGACAGGCGCTGCGCCCAATGGGAGCCTTTGCCGTCCCGCTTCCGTGCCGACTCGACCCGCGGATTGGCTAAGCTGAGGCGGGCCGCGGGGGCGAGACCCCTCCTTCCAGAGAGGTCTAGGGGGCGCCCCTGAGGGAGGGCGGTTGCTTAGCAACGGGGCGGTGGCTCGGCGGGTACCCGGCCTAGGGGAGCGCGAGCAGTAAGCGAGGCCTCAGCCCACCCACCCGGGGCTCCAGCGCGTAGCGGCCTCCGGCCCTCGAGCCCTGCAGGGGGCTCCAGGAGGCCGCCTTGGGCCCGGCCTCGGGAAAACGAGGTCTCCGCTGTGGGAGCCTCGACCTTTCTTCCTGGCCGGTGGCCGGGCTCAGCGCCTCCCTCTCACCCCGTCTTTGTGCGGGGTGCCGGCGGCCATTGTGTCCGGGCGCGGAATGGAGGACCTGGCAGTCCCCCAGTGCTATGTCCAGAGCCTTTGGGGAATTCAAAGACAACTAGCGGTGTTTGTGGGGGGTCTCCGGCGTACGCCACTCGGAAAAGCCCGGGAGTGGTCTTTCCGAAATCAGACCGCAGATCCGAAGCCGGCTCCCCCTCTCCGCGTCTCTGCGCGAAACCTTGAGATTCACTGAGAAGTCCCTTTAGGGTTTCGGAAGCCTCATCCAGGGCTGGTACTTAAATAGAAAGAAAGGAGGGGTGGGGGAAATTACACTCAACCCATACCTCCGGGAGAGTTCTCCTGACTCCCAGTAGGAGGCGGAGAGCCAAGGGGCGTGCTAGAGCGAGGGGGGTTGGGCTCCCGGGTGGCTGGAGGCTGCGGAGCAGAGAGGCCGCCCTCGATCCGGGCGATGGAGGAAGCAAGCGAGGGGGCAGGTTCCTAAGCTTCGCAATTCCTCTGTCGCCTTCTGGGCTGCCTACCAGGTCGCATGATCCCTCCGGCCGGGGCTGGTTTTTTTGCTGAGTTACCGGCGACCCAGTCACCACCTCCTCACGACCTATGATACAAAAGACCTTCCGGGGGCTGCACCTGCTTGCTGTCGCCGGAGATAGATTTGAATGTAGGTGGTGGTGGTGGTGATACGCCAGTGGGGGTGACTTTTGGAGAAAGGCATTTCAGAGAAAAAGGGGTGGGTGGTTGTAGTAAAAACAGGCTAATGAAACAATTCAAAGCTTGCTGGTCCTTTCAATTTGACTTCATTGAAGTCTCTTAGAACCTGGACTCAGACCTTCATAAGAGCCACAAAGAAACCAATTCTGGTACCCGGAGGAGGAATGGGGATATTTTAAGGTAAATGACATGCATATTAAAATTTTCTCCTGAAGCTCTTTTTCTCTCCTCAGAACCTTATCTTGGCTTTGGATCCTGGAAGAGAATCGCTAAACACAGGGCAGACCCAGTGAGTGAGCAGGTGTTTTGGACAATGGACTGCTTGAGCCCATCTCTATTATAAAAATGTCTCAGAGCAACCGGGAGCTGGTGGTTGACTTTCTCTCCTACAAGCTTTCCCAGAAAGGATACAGCTGGAGTCAGTTTAGTGATGTCGAAGAGAATAGGACTGAGGCCCCGGAAGAAACGGAACCAGAAAGGGAGACCCCCAGTGCCATCAATGGCAACCCATCCTGGCACCTGGCGGATAGCCCCGCGGTGAATGGAGCCACTGGCCACAGCAGCAGTTTGGATGCGCGGGAGGTAATCCCCATGGCAGCAGTGAAGCAAGCGCTGAGAGAGGCTGGTGATGAGTTTGAACTGCGGTACCGGAGAGCATTCAGTGATCTGACATCCCAGCTTCATATAACCCCAGGGACAGCATATCAGAGCTTTGAACAGGTAGTGAATGAACTCTTTCGGGATGGGGTAAACTGGGGTCGCATTGTGGCCTTTTTCTCCTTTGGCGGGGCACTGTGCGTGGAAAGCGTAGACAAGGAGATGCAGGTATTGGTGAGTCGGATTGCAAGTTGGATGGCCACCTACCTGAATGACCACCTAGAGCCTTGGATCCAGGAGAACGGCGGCTGGGTAAGAACCACGCCCCTCTTGTGTACATACGCCCCTTGTGTGTGTCGTCCCTGTGGAGATCCATAACTGCCCTTTTTCGTCTTTTTCTGTTGTATGGCATGATTGTTGAAGATATCGATTGTTCAGGAGACCTTCCTGGTTTCATTTTAATACAGGAGGTTAACTTTGGAATTATAAATGACCCAGTTTTTAAGGAACCTGTATCTTTCATTCTGGCTACCCTTGTGGCCCTACAGTTTCTTAGTTTTGTTCCAATTTCTCAGCATAGAAAAACAGCCTGTGTGTTTACTTGGCTTAAAACCTATGAGAGTAGCAAGTTCTCCCTGTGTTCTGCTTACTCTCACGTAATGGGTCACCTTGGCTGGGGTGATGAACATAATACCCAGAGAAACTGCAGAGCTGATAACCTCAGGCTCCTGTGGACTTGCATGCATGGTACTCCCACCATTTGGCCAGGCAGGAGCCCCCACTGGCTCGAGTGGCTGAGTGTCGTCTGATTTTAGAGAAGGGTGGTCTGGGCCAATTGTGTTTGTGCTGTGCCCCTAAGTTCATTTTCCCCAAAGTATGCAGCTTTCTGCATGGTTGGCTTGTCTGTGGAGCCCTTGCTGTGCCATGTATTGAGCCCCAGGACTTTGCACCTCACTGCCCTGGAGCGGTTGGGGATCTCCAGCTGCTCTGCCCAGTGTTTTTCTGGTCAGGGCCCTGGGGCCTCTTTACTGAAGCACTGTTTGCTGTCAGAGCAAGAACCTAGTTTGTGAAGCTCCATAGGAAATTAAGATTTGGTGACAGACTGGATGTGGATGTGAGTCCTGGCCCTGTCACTTAACTGGCCATGTGACCTTGGACAGTCTGGTTTACCTTCTGGAGCCTTAGTTTCTAACAGACTATTGTTTTTGTTTTTTGTTTTTTGTTTTGTTTTTGGTTTTTGGTTTTTTTTTTTTTTTTTTTGGTTTTTCGAGACAGGGTTTCTCTGTGTTGCCCTGGCTGTCCTGGAACTCACTTTGTAGACCAGGCTGGCCTCGAACTCAGAAATCCGCCTGCCTCTGCCTCCCAAGTGCTGGAATTAAAGGCGTGCGCCATCACCGCCCGGCTCTAACAGACTATTGTGATTCTCAAAGATAAAGAGAACAGAGGCTGACACCAATGAGTGCCTTTTCTTCAGAGAACCCTTCTGCTCTCCACATCAGTCAGGGTGAGACAGAAGTGAGAGTTCCCTTACTGGTAGCTATTTCAGAGTGAACTGCATTCTGGAATAGGGGATATTGCGGCTTCTGAGACGTATTCTGTCCCCTCAGAACATGTAGAAAATGGACAGACTGGAAAATAAGTCATCCATTGAAGGAAGTGAGGTGGAAGGGGCCATGCATCATGGACTCCGGAATGTCAAGAATTTAGTTGTCCATAGGCTGGGCCTAGGGCGGGGCAAGCACTTTGCTTTACTACTGGACAAGAGAACTCCTGGGTTTGCCCTGGGACCCCATCCTGTCTCTAGTTTCCCATTTCTTTGAAAGTTCACCCCTTTTCCCTCCAGTAGCTCTTGTAAAGGCAAGGAGGTCACTTGTCAGTAGAGGTCAGATGACCAGAGTAGAGTTGGCTGAGGTAAAGGTGGGTTCCCTTGAGCTGAGGGTTGCCAGACTTAAAAGCCAATCTGTAAATGAACTCCCTGGGGAGATAAATGATTAAATAGTTCCTGTTGGTTTGGGCTGTGACCTCTTCTATTCATTCTCTTTCTTTGATTCTCTTTTGGGGCAAATATTTGTTCAGCTGATTACAGGAGGGGCAGAATTCCAGCGCTTCAGACACAGCCTCTGAAGCATCTCCTAGTAGACATAAGCCCTTGGCCTTTATCGCCTGCTGACTGTCTTTAGCTGACTGAGTGGTCCTAACTACAGGTAGGGTCTTGCCAGTTACAAACAGTAGGCAGGTGGAAGAGGTACCTTGCTGGGCCAGCCAGCCTCTTGTCTGCAGAGGCAGCTGGGACCTGAGAATTGCCAGCTGCCTCATACTACAAGTCTTCTTCCAGTCACCTGGAAAAACGCTAAACCGACCTAAGGCAGCAGCTTGGGGGCAAATTCACTAGATCTCCACTGACTAAAATCTTACCTTCCAATGTCTCTTGACTCGAGACTCTCCAGAGCCTGTCGGGCAGCATACCTGGTAACTTGCCACTTCTGCTTGGTAAGCAGAGGGGGAGTGTGTGCAGAAAAGCTGGTTATGGTAGAACCATTTCTGGATATGCATTCTTCCGAGACCAGCGGGTAAGGGACGTTCCCCTTGGAGTTATTTGAGCCTTGGTGGAAGATGCCTGCCCGTGTCCTTTTAGGTCCAGTCTCCTCTGAGGTACAGATGCTGCCAGAGTGACATCCCCTAACTTCCCTGGAGGCTGCAGCTTTGAGGCCTTCCAGTTCAGGTAGTCACTCAGGGTATGCTCCAAATATAGCATCCTTTAGGAAAGGGGAAAGAATTTTGCCTTTCTTGTACCTTCAGTACTTCAGGTGTTTTATCCTTTACTTAATGAGGCAAATTTACTGAACAGCCACTATAAGGCAAGCAGTGTTCTAGGTGCTGGCTTAAGCTAGCCACTATCTTCCCCTTGTGGAAATACGTGGTCATTCATATGTTCCATACAGTAACTTTCCAAGGTATGTGAATTTATTCCCAGGTTGTATACAAAGCTCCCAGTGGCTAAATGATGGAGCTTAAATGTTTCTCAGCCAACTTAGTCTTAAATTGAGGTTGGCCTAATTTCACAGTCCAGACTCTTTGCATCCATGCCTTGTTCAGGAATTAATAATCCAGACAGACTAGCAATAGACACTCAGGGCTACTGTTGGGCTGAGAAAAGCTGCTTGTAGAAGGTACTCATTCCATGTTGCAATTGTTGTATTGTTCGGGTATCTGAGAACAGTGCCTTTATCATCAGTAGCAGGGTCCCAAATGTGTGGAAATCTCCAATTGTGGTACTAGTAAAACTCAGGCATGGCAAGTGTTGAGTGGCATCAGTCATGATGGGCTTCTTGTTAGTGTTTTTCTTGTTAAAATCTCAGCCATGTCAATCATTGAGAGTGGCATGTGTGCAAGGAGACAGATGACCTGCCCCAGAATCTCTGTTAATTGTAGGGTGATGCCATAAGGATGGAACTCCAGCCTCTGGCCATACTACTGCCTGCCTGCCTGAGTCACCTGGAAAAATATTGTACCTGTTTGTGTCTCTTGTCTTTTGTCTCTCCTACCTGTAAAATCGAATAATGATGCTCAGCTGCCAGAATAAAAGCCCTTCCCTAACCTTAATTGTAGGGTGGATGCACGTCTTCCCCAGAATGAGCTTCCTCCCTCAAGGCTCTGAACTTTACCCCCTGGAGTTACTCCATAAGAAACTAACCCTGTTCACTGAGAACTAGGCCCCATCAGATGAAACTCTTTTTGTTTTTTTGTTTTGTTTTTACTTTTGTTTTGAATGTGGGTGAGGCTCCAATGGGCCAGTCATTTTGGTATAACCAGCCCTGTAGATACCCTTTGCCCAGTGGAAACACCATTGTTAGGAGCAGTGAACGAGTGATAACTGGGCAGAGCACCTAGCTTGGCCTTCCCCAAGCTGCAGCTCTCCTCTTACCTGTTGTGGCTTCTTCAGTGCAACACCAAGATGGACATGTGCTTAGTTGAAGCACCTCAGCTCCATTTGCAAATTCGGCAGTTCTGTGGTTTTCTTGGGGAAGCCCCATCAGAAACCCCAACACAGAAATTCTTAGTAATCTCATTCAGGGCTCCAAATGAAGTAAAGTGTCTCAGGGGCTCCCCCTTGGAACACCTACTTCTTTTCGGTGTCCTTTTTTTAGGTGGCTCTTAAAACTCTTAACATCATAGGGTTTTCCAGACTCCCTAAAGCAACATCCCCAGAACCACATGGAGCTCTTCATCTTCTGCTTGAAAATTTCCCAGGGATTTTTAGGGGCCCCAGTGGAACCTGGAGAGTTTCTTGACTTTCTTGTGGGCAACTACCAATTTTGTTTGGGCTATGTGAAGCAGTATTATTAACTGAACCCCTTTCCCAGCAGACTCCTGTCCTAAGGCCAGTGGGCTTGGGCATCCTCCTGTGCCCAGCCTCCTGGTTTTTCCCCAGCCCTCAGCCTACCACCACCAGTCTTTTGTAGTTGCTGCCTTGTCTGGGTTAGTGTGCTTTGATTTAAAGGTAGTGCCCAGTGAACTGCCTTTCACCAGAAACAACATCCTCAACAACCTAAGTCTATCAGGATTTCCGCCCCCAACCCCAGCCTCCAACCAAAGTCTGCAGGGTCTTCCCTATGACTCCTCTTTCCTTGAAGGAATCACTCTGGATCCTGTTGTCCCTGCAGGTCCAGTCTGTCTTCCCCACTCCCACTGGGCATCTAGTGATAAAGAGAGTCCTACTGGGTTTTTGTTTCACCTAGTGAGACAAATTGCCACCAGCTTGATATTCAACTTTTATATATTATCCCTCTCACTTTGTATAAAGGAAAGAAGCTGTTAATTTAAGTTGCTGCAGAGAAGGCATTTCTAATGGCTCTACTCTGTCAGGAGTTGAGGCTGAGTCCACATCTTGCTCACACTGGTTATCTCAGCCCAGAGCACAGGTCTTGGGTACAGCAGTCACCAATGAAAGAGATACTGAGTATCTGAAGAAAGGACCTTATCAAACCAGAATAATAATGGTGGGCACCTCCTCTGACCCAGCTATTGAGCCTCTACTCTGCTAGGCTCAATACTAAAGAAACTAACAAATACTAAACAAAACTAAGGTTTTGTCTCATGTAGCTCATTCTGTTGGAGAGACAAAAAATACATAATGGAGGCTGAGGCTCAGACTGTAAAATGCATGCTGTGCTAGTATAAGAATCTGAGTTTGGGCCAGCCCATGCTTTTAATCCCAGCACTTGGGAGGCAGAAGCAGGCTGGTCTACAGAGTGAGTTCTGGGACAGTCAAGACTACAGAGAAAAACCATCTCAACCCCCTGCCCTCCCCC